GTAGCATTAGATGTGTGAAAAAAACGATTCTAATCCTCGCTCTCGCCACTCAAGTTCAAAAAACTGACATAAGATACCATCACATGTGTGAAAAAAAAAAAACAATAAAACATTATATATATATATATCACAATAATGTATGACGATTTTTTTCCGGCACTCACACGCAGAAAATCTCAAACACGCCCACACATGCATAAGAAGAGGGGGAGAGGTGACAGAGTTAAAACTGCACACAGACAAGGATAAGCAGCGAAATTCAACCATGCACACATAGGGGAGGTAAACAATGACTCTCACTCTCCGACAGACTCCCAACATATAAAGAACCGTAGCAAGATCACAATTCATATGATGTTGATGAATTCAACCATGCACACATAGGGGAGGTCAGACAATGACTCTCACTCTCCGACAGACTCCCAACATATTAAGAACCTCAGCAAGATCACAATTCATATGATGTTGATGATGAACCAACTCGAACGAATATCATAACAGAGTTTGTTCCAGTCCCTTGTTCCCCAATCGATTTCCCTCCTTCTACTAACAGAGTACATTAATCTAACCTACACCTATACCAGACTGACTAACCGACCAACACCGTTGCAGTTTCGGTCTCTCGGCCTGTACCGAACCCGACTATAGGCTATAGAACCGTCTATCAGCTTAGGCCATTATGGTCTGTCTGTCCAGGGGGTAGTCCGGGCCTGCTATTCGCAGTAAGGGTACGTATAGGAAATTGGAAATATTGTTGGGCCTATATTTCCCATATGTACAGATATTACCCTCACGAATTTTCCTCACAGGTTCGTCTCATGACTAGCACTCAAACGAACAAAAATACAAATGTAACCCTACGAGGTAGTATGCAGCCTCGCCACTAGTCTTGGAAGTCAGACTGAGCAAAAATAGATATATATATGTATATATATATATATGTATATATATATATATATATATACAAGTAAAGAGACAGACATAATGTAGCGTAACAAGCAAGACACCATGAGATGTGTGTGAACAACGCCATGCTCAATGAAAATCGGATCACCATACCGATGTCAGGTCAACGATAAAGCCATTCAACCAGTCAAACGCTGAACAACTCTATATCGTCACCCTCAGATTCGGAGCTCAATGTCTGGACCCAATCATCACATGCAGGCACCGCATCGTCCTCCATGTGCCCGATGATGAAACACGGCTCTCCCCCACCGCCTCATGGTCGGAATCTGAGGCAGCATCATCAACGACTTCCACTGGGTCGCGTTGACGAACAACTCACGCGGCAATGGCGCGGCTCCATAAGGACAAACCTCCTCCCGCAGAAGCTCTCGAGCCCAGTCTGAAACATGAGCCGAACCGAACACTGACGCCGTCAATCTGTCCTCCCAACAGTCGATCGCCTCGTGACCGTAGTGTCGACGGAAGCCTGGTCTCGCACGTATGGAAGTGCCCGCAGCAATGCGAGCAACATACCTGACCGGGTCTCGCCAGCAGTGACTGTTCCACCAAATCACTGTGATCGACAAACGTGCACAGAAAGACTTCTCGAAATGCACCGACTTCTTCGCATAGATAATGATGGTGCCCTGAAAAGTCTCCACCGCCGATGTGTGCCGAAACTCGACGTAGTACGGCGTGATGTTAGTGCTGCATTGTTTATCGAGAACACGCAGAACGAGCTCGTAGACCGTGTCCGTGCGGCTATACAAAGGCAATCGTGCACGCCCACCGGCCTTCTCGCACAGAACCTCCCTACCGTCCACACATCCCGAATGATCACCAGCCCAATGATCGGCGACCAATATGATGTCACGGTGTAGACTGTCGGCGTCTCCGCCCTCCTCCCTGCACAGCTGGAAAGCGCGGAGGAACCACATCCCAACCTCATGCGCATGATACTCTGTCAAACTGTCTGGATCAGTCTCCAACGCTCGAGCATTGAACCTCGATCCGTAGGGGTACATCTTTCGCATGACGACAGCGACGAAGTCAGATTTCTTCAGCTGCTCCTCAGCAGGTGTGAGGACGTTAGGTCCAAAACGCTGCTCCAACGCCTTCTTTAGCCGCTTCTTCGTGAACTGCATGAACTGCGCCTCTGATACACAGTCGTGCGGGCTGCTCACTTTCTTCGCTTCCTTCAGCTGCAGCATACTGTGGAAGTGCTTTCGAATGTTTTTTATTTTGTGGTGGCAATCCTTTCGCCACTCGATGCTCATAGCTCGCAACTTTGGTCCCAGCGCCGCACAATCATCCGAGACAACGCACCGGATCTTCAACCCCTTGTCCATCACCTCTCGCAAAAGTTGCACGACGGCTAGCACCTCAAGCGCATTCGATGTCTTGCCTTCAATCTTCGGACGGAGAGTGTGAACACCTACAACAAGCCGAGTCTCGTACTCCATCGTGGTGACAGTGCAATGTTGCGCGCCTCTGGCAGAGTCATATCGACCATCAACCATCAATGTCACTAGCTCACCACGGCGCATCACAGTGTCAATGGCAAACTCGCAATATTTTATGCCCTGCCGTACGACCTTGGCATTCCACCCCTCCGCCCCCCCCGGTTCTGTGCGCATAAACTTGTAGAATGTGGGTTTGTGCACCGAGCACATCCCTAAACAAACACAAAAGTTGTCAAGAAGCGTGAACGTAAGGCCGGCGGTGACCGTGGCATGATAGAGTTGCTGCATTAGTCGCGACTGATAGACGTTCGTGGTCACGAGTGTCATGTGCCACGTCCATTTGCATTTCTTGTCGCATACGAACGTCAGCTTACAAAGCTGCGCAGGATAGGAGATGGACTCTACAGACGCAGTCGCAAGGCAACCCACCAACACGTTCACCACCCCAACCCAAATGCCTGCACACACACCCACACAACCAATAGCCCACCGTGAACCCACCCATGCACCCGCAAACTCCCCCCTCCCCAACATTACGCACGCTCACCCTGTTGCACAACCGCCCCCACCGACTGCACAATCACAGCATACTGCCCCTATCATTGCACGCACACCCCCTCACGCAATGCCAAGCACAGCAATGCACAATACACGTAGGGCAAAAAGAAACAACATTGCCCAAACCACCAAAAGATCGCAAAAGGGCAGATGGCAGAAGCGCAAGGAAAAACCTTGCGTTTGGTGATTGAAGGTGGAGAGTTTTGGGTCTGGTTTGCAGCAGGCAGCAGAGTTGCCAAAAATTTCTTGGCCAGTGGCATTTCCCTGTAAGGTTCTCCATCCGCGAGTTGGTCTGCAGTGAATAGACGGTTAGCAACCAGCAGATGCGTCAGGTTCATCATGTGTCTGCGCATGTAGAGGAAGGTGACCTGCAGCTTAATAGGTTTTTTCCATTCATTCTGCAGTTTGTCAGTAAGTTTCATCATCCCCATCATATCAGAGGGAACATCAACCACAAAAATATCGAGGTTTGCTATGTAGAACCATAGCATGTGATCAAACCATGTGATCACACCTCCATGCATGGGGCAATTGCACTTCAGGTATGGTCTACCGGAGTTCCATAGTTTCTTGAACTCATGGAGCTCGACAATAGGTTTCTGCACCGCCTTCTAGTGGAGCAGTAGGCGGCAGTTGCGACATCTGGAGCTGTCAAGAGGTCCAAGGATCGGGAAGTTGGCGTCAATTGCCATTCTGGAGATGGTGGTTTTTTTGGCCTCCTCTCTGCATTTGGCAAGATCCGCCAACAGAAAAATTCCCACGAGAAATGAAAGTTGAAAAAACATTCCATAAAAAAAAATCCTTCATATTTATAAATTTTCATTCCAATGTTCGTCCAATTCTAAAATTTCCAATTTAATTTGGTAAGTTCCCGTCTAAATATGAACTTTTGCCTTCCAACTACATCTTTTTGTTCAAGATGGAATGAAAGTCTGGACGAGTTTATGAAATATTTTAATTAAACTTTCATTCTACTACAACAAATATCTTCTAATTTAGATTGGATTAACCTATTTATGACTGAAAATCCTTCCTTAGAATGACAGTCCAATTAAAATATTTCATGAACTTATCCAGACTTTCAATCCATCTCTAGCATGTAGTTCAAATAAGAAGGAATACCCCATTCTTGGAAGGAAAGTTTTTAAGTAAGACGGAAAATTTCAAAATTGGAATGACATTTTTTAAGATGGAATGAAAATTTGAAAGTTAGAATGTAATTTTACTCTAAAATGATTATTTAATTCTAGGAAATTTTTCTGTTGGCTTCCGACAGGTTAGCAAGCGCTGCATACGCTTGGATGGTGCTGGGGGCAATGTGGTTAAAGGGGTCTAGCAGCCACAGCTTCTTGTCATATCTGGTTCTGATACTTTCAATCCACCTGGGTGTTTAGACGGGTATGAATGGTGCATCTGGCGCCATTCTGAAGAAGTTGGTCTTGTGTGGGGTGGGTGCGGCGACGGCAGACTGGGCTGCTTGTTGCTGTCGCTCCGCCCGCCTCTTCAAATACCAATCTTTTTCGGCTTGTGAAGGGTTGAGGTGTGTAATGACTTGTAGTCTGTGCTCGTCAGTGTTGTCAGCGGTGTTGACATCACCTGTGGCATTCAAATGTGCGGAGCTGAAGCCATGCATATCAAGGATGACCTTCTCTGTTTTGACGACAATCTTGTCTATCTCCCGGTTCTGTAATGCTGCTTGCTTTAGAATGGCGGCGAGGTCCTTGGCATCCGTTTGAATGATGGGTCCCTCTTCTCCTCTGAGTGTTTGCCATTTGGCAACAATGATCGCCCAGTCTGAGAAGTGCAGGTTCTCAACGAGGAAGGGGGCTTGCGCGTTGCTGACATTATGTACTTGATTGAGTACTTGCTCCGGGAGAGCTAGCATGACAATCTGCGCATGCACGCTTGGGGGTGCCAGGTGGATGAACCGCCGGGCTTTCTCAGCCAGCTCGTGATGCCATCCCTTGTTGGTGTCTGATTTATTCTGCATGCGACGGATTAGAGTGCAATGTTAGTACAGGGTGTTTTTTTTTTTTAAATACATATATATGGACAAACGTGTGGGTTAGGATGTGAAGTTTGTGCAGAAAGGGAAGGTTTTTGATTGTTCAGAGGTTTTGGAATGGTTTTTATAAAAGAGAAAAAATTATTGGTTAATAGTGATATGGAGTGTAAAATATGAAAAATCTACGCAGTCTGTTGTGTTGTTATTGTTGTTTTATTATGTATGTGGGGGTAGTCGTTGGTTGGTGGGGATAGGGATGGTTTTGGCAGGGGGTTGGGAGTCTCATAGGTCTTGTGTTTGTTAGGTTTTCGTGTTAAGGGATCTTATTGTGCAGACATTCTTGGAGGGAGGCTTGCTATAGTAATAGCTAGTAGATGGGAAGAGTCTATGGTGCTGGGTCTGGCCGAGGAGCAGGTTCAGGCTGATGCGGTGTTAAGGGGGGCTTGGCATTAGTTATGTGTGTTCAAGATATGTTGTTGTATTGATAAATAAGCGTTTGTTCGGTCTATGGCCCCTAGTGTCATGAGATAGGATATTTTGGCTTATTAAATCGTGGTAGATCCTGCATTTTTATGTTACTTGTTAGTGTCGTGATGTTAGGGGTAATTATTATAATTGGTAGGTATTTTATATCGTACGTATTGTTTTTTTTATAAAGAAATTGGTTTTGATATTTATATCTATATAAATATAAATCAGTAAAGGAAGTAAAAGGATAAGAAAAATGTACGTTTTGATTTTTAATATTCTTATCTTTTATTTATGTTATTATTATTATTATTGCCTTATCCAACTTTTAAGTGAGAAAGGTCCTCGTCTTACTTGGTGGTCTTCCTGGAGTATGTAGTATAGCAGGATCCGTAGGAAGGAAGAGTAGCCCATTCTACTTTTTTGGGGGGGAAGGGGGGGCCGAGAGGGGGGTCATTGTTAGTTGAGTCGTTTTTATAGAAAAAGAGTGGAAAAAAGGGAAGTTATTTTATATATATATATATATATATTTTATCCTAAGGATTATTTTATTGTTTTATGTTCTATATTATCATGACAGAAAACACGCTCGTGCGTCCCTTTCATCAAATCTGCGGTCAATCGGGGCAGGGTGAGGTACTCCTCGCTAGAGCTATCCGACCGCAATCAATCATTGCGTTAACCCCTATCTCAATTACTATCCTAATTTCGACAGAATATTCAACCAATCAAAAAAAAGAGCGACTTGCAAAGTAAAAAGGAATGATTCAACCATTGATTCCACCAACTGGGCTAAGGCCAATCAGAAAATACACATGCATACAAAAAAGATGTAAAATTCACAGACAGCCTATCTATTGTTCGAACCCTATCCAGCTTCGTTAAGGCTCCAAGGGGCAGACACAACTTCAACAAAATCTAGTGTGCTTGTACTTTCAACCAACCAATCAATTCACTATGACCAGGTACCTAATTAAAGTAGTGGATCGCCGGCCATCATCAAGATACGGAACATAATTCGATAAAAACCGTGACCCTTCTATTCACGTTTTCGCCAGGAAGCAGCAAGTTGCAATCGACGAGACATAATCTCAATACCTCCATTTTTCTTTTAATTAGTATTATAATATACTCTATCGGAGATCCAAAGACTAGGAGGGCATGAGCAACACTACGTCCGAAGCGGGCACCTCGGCTAGAGTGGAGAGGCCACGGGTAGGGTTGAAGCCCCGTGTCGTCAGTTTGCCAGCAGCCCTAGGCGATGCCAGTCGTAGCGAAAGGCCTGTCATCTAGTCTCCCGGGGGTCGATGCTTATTGATGTTCTCACTTCGTTCGTCTCCAGCTCTTTACTTGGATAGAGTTACGTTCGTTGGCGCAGCACCATAGTGTTACGTATCTATAGTCAGCGAGCGAGGCGGCTGATCGGGTGACAGTTCTGATTGTATGGTGTGCATGTCCTGCCTGTTGGCTGTCTCCATACCTCTCCCGTTCCTCCCATGGCCAACCTAGGGTTACCAACTTGTCGTTGGTCAAGACAAGGCTTATGGCAGGTGCATGGTTATGCCTATTCGGAGCGGTCGCCATCTCATCGCATTCATGCTCCATTATCCCACCATCTCCGCCATGCCCAAGGGCGAGTTCGGCTTGCGGATAGCTGAATGACAGTTATTCCTGTGCAGACGTCTGCTGTATGCGTATCGTGGTGGCGACGCAGTATTATTATATTTTTAAAAAATATATATATAATGTGTTTTTTTTTTTTTTTTTTTGATAAGTTTTAATTTTTATTTTTTTAGGAAAAATTAAATTTGTAAAAGGATTATATTTTATTTTTTATTTTTTATTGTTTTATTTATTATGTTTTATTTTTTTATGTTTTATATTTTTAATTTTTAATTTTTAATTTTTATTTGTTATTTTTTATTAATATTTTTATTATTAATATTTTTTATTTTTTATTTTTTATTTTTTATTTTTTATTTTTTATTAAAAATTTTTAAATAATTTTATATTTTTTATATTTATTTATTTATTTGTTTTATCTACATATTTTGTTTTATATTTTTCATATATGAAATTTTATGCAGATTTGATCAAATATTTGAAAGAGATTATTTTATTTTTTGTTTCATCGTTCGGAATTAGACATTCGTGGTGGACGTTTTTGGTTTAAGGGATGTGGAAGGGGTGGGCGAGGGGTAGGTATGCGGATGGATGATTACTTTGGGTGCGCGTGCATTTTTGTGGTAATTTTTAGGTTATGTTTTTTTGGTTTTCTTTGTTTTAGTTATTCATTGGATAGATATAGTTCTTGGTTTGGTTCGTGGTTCAACTAGAAAAAATGCGGATGGTGTTAGATTTGAGGAAGTGTTCTCTTGCATGCGTTGTTGCGGTAGCAATATAAAGAGAGTAGGGATTTTTTTTTGGCCACTGTGCAAGACGTTTCGAGATTTGCGTAGTGTGCTCCTATGCTGGATACTCTGTTTGTGTGTACCAAAGCTTGTCGTTGTGCTTGTGAAGTTGTACATTCTCACGTTGGGAGGTTACGCTGGGGCAAGTTGATTTCTCTATTATTGGTTGTGCAGTGGGTGGAAATGGAAGGCAATCATATTAGTGTTGATATGTGTTAGTTGGACAGGTGTGGGTGACTTCTGCCAGAAAAAGCGGGAGGATGGAGTTTTTCGTGGTTTACCATAGTGTCGTGTCTGGGGATACGATCCTGATTCTGGAGCGTGTGTATCTTCGTGATTCTCCGGTTGGTGTGGAGCCATGGGGGACATCTCCAGAGGGTCGGTCGATGACGCGTTCGTATGATGTTAACATAAATGGACAGATGGTACTTCGTGTGGGGACCTGCTACAAGGAGCTTTAGTTTCTCTGCGTTTCTTCCTGCGTCGGATTGGCGAGGAGATTCCCATTAACATGTTATTCATTAAAATAGTACATTATTTTTTAAATAGTGCTTTTGTCGTTCGAGAAACTCGAAAGGTATACACGGCTGACAAAAGAAGATGCTCACTACACATTAATACATAACGATAAGAGTTCCCGTTCAACGGATAAATCCTCAACACATTTAATTTGTTTCAAGACGAAAAATTCAATTACGGAAGTCGGATACATCCTTACTAAACTGGCTCACATTTAGACAGTCAGTACGAACGTCGCATATCGAAGGTTTCCCCTTGTGAGGGACGCATATGAGTGACCGAAAAAAGGTCTTCGTTGAGGCTTTAAAGGGTGCATGGGAGTGAAACGAATAGCTCATTTTTGAAGTTTAATTGAATAGAAGCAGGATGAGTAAGATACATCCGAATCACATGTTTCGATATTCATAATATACAAGTTGGCTAGTTTTATAGTAAAACTGGGATATATCCGAATCAAATATTTCATTATTCGGATGAAGGGAATCCATTATGTTATAAACCGTGCATCATTCATTAAATATCCTCCACGCAATCAAAAGGTTGAACTTATGATCATAGCCCGGATCACCCTCCGAGGAAAAATTAACCAATATGTTATCATTCCAATAACAATTATAGCTTTCCAGACATTTCTTAAAACAAAAGGGCGTCGGACGGAGTGAAGTGGTGGGCAAAATTATGTAGAGATGTTATCATTTGTCGCTTGTCGGGTTCGACCTCGCAACCATGAACTTGTAACATCCCTACCCAATGAGCCCACCACTCCGCCACTGTCCTCGCCAAGATCAAATGATGTATGTTAACAAATAAAAGTGCACCCTCGGGAACCCCTTAAGAACTCTAGTAACCATCAGTCTTAAATTTCAACTAGATGGCGGTTGCATTTACATTATCACTTTACCAAACATTTCTCAAAACAAACGGGCATCGTACGGAGTGAAGTGGTGGGGAGTATATTATGTAGAGACGTTATCATCTGAGGATTGGGCATTGGAGAAGGCTCAAACGAATGCGTAGGATACATCTGAATGAAACTGTGTACATATTATCATATGTTAAAGTGACCAAGGACCTTATAATTATTTTAAAAGATCTCACTGGATTTTGAAGACAATTGACAACTCATGAGAACTAGATTGAAAAGCGAAGACAAATTAAAAACAGAGCGGGACACCCAGCCTACATAAGCAGGCACACAACCATTGAATTCGTAAGCAGACAAATGAGAAGTACGCCGTAAAAATTGATAACAGTTATCTGGTCCCAATATTTTGAATTCGTAATGGTTACCTCAAAAGTTTCCTTTAACCAAAAAGTTGGCAAGGCTATGTTAGACCGTCCACAATTAACCAAAAAGTTTTCGTGGAAATTTAATCTAATCAGACATTCTAACACAAAAATTTGAAAATATTGAGATGTATCTCTAAAAAAGCCTACACTATGAAAACATTCACAAATTCGACATCCTGATGGAACTCTAAAAACGTAAGACTTGTTACCAAAGTGTTCGGAACTTGAAATCTTCAAAAGAAGTCTCTTCGCAAAGCGTTCACTAGCGGTTCCCATGTTGAACCGTCCACAATGCAAGCCGAGATAGGAGGTTGAGGCAGACTTTCGAAACCCGTAATGGAAATCGAGAAACCTTGAACGTCTCCCCCAGCCATGACAACAGCACGTCTCAAGGACACAGGAAATCTGCAGCTTGCAGATATGGTGCTGTAAAATCTCCCTGCATCCAGTTTCCCCCTTGACGCTCTTGTGTTTGGTTGTTGTAACAATATCCTTATTCTTTGGGTCGGATGCATCTGAACCACAACCGACCATGAGCCAGGGTGGACACTCGTGACTTTCGTTAATACTTTATAGTGTGCAAATTTCAACTTACCTGACATTCGACCACAAAACTTGGGAAGTGTCGAGACTCGTCTCTCAAACTGGTGAAAATTAAAAATAATAAGAAATGACTATACTATGAAAATGTTCACAAATCCGACATAATAACACAAAATTCTAAAAACGTAAGACTGGTCACCAAATGCCTTAAAAAGTTGAAGTCTTGAGAAGAAGCCTCTTCGCAGAGCGTTCACTATCGGTTCCCATATCGAACCGTCCACCATGCAAGTCGGGATTGGAGGTTGAGGCAGACCTTCAAACTCCGTAATGGCAAACGAGAAACCCTCAATGTCGCCCCCTGCTCCGAGCACAGCACGTCTCAAGGCGAAAAGAACTTCTGAAGCTTTTACATAAGCTCTTGTAAAATCTCCTTGCATCCAATTTCCCCCCCGACGCTCATATATTCGCATGTCGAAAATGTTCAGATCAGTAAACCTCACCATGATGACAAACATTGTCCGTTGTCCCGCTACGATCCTGAAGATTCTCTCATATTGAAAAGGAAACGCTCCTCCCTTTGTGATGATCGTCAGTCGTTCATGTACTTTTATTTCAATGAAGCCCAAAATCTCATCCATGTTTTTGAAGTACGTAAGAAAAGGAAAGTCTGCACACTGCAAAAGACAAAAGTCACAATAAAAGCGTCACATCAAGATCGGGATCGAAAGCCCGAGGTCATGCTACGACGATCAAAACGCCCCCACGCTCAATGTCGAAAATTGATGAAGAACTCTTGTTGATTTGAAGCGCGTAACCCTAAGATCACAAATCATTAAGCGATGTATTCCATGGAGTTAAGCGTGGTGTGCACAGGCCAGCATGGCAATACGTTCTCCCCACGAAAAGACCACAACCATCACACTCTCGATGAGGTAGCCTCCTGCCCGCTCCCTTCTCCGGAAACGCTTTGTGTTTGAGCGCCAACACAGTTTTCTAGGGCGGGAGTTGCATTTTTTCTTATTTTCAGAGGAATCACAAGACCGGTGGTAAACGTTTTGGAGGACTTGCAGACATTTGTTCTCGTTTGTCTCATCCAAGAAAACGCAACAGTTGTGACATGTTGATACTCTTCCTCGTGCCCTGGAGTTTTTTTCCATTTTTTTTCCTAGGCGTCGGCATACAATTCTCTTAGTGTGCTCGCTTTTCCGATTGGAACCCAGTACTCCACTTTGAATTGGTTGTAAGTTGGCGAATCTTCGTTCTTGTCAACTTCACTGCGAACCTGGCCAACCCAAAAAGGCACTCCTTGATACATGTCCTCGTCTGATGGTTGCATAATGACCAAACTGTCGACATGCACATCTTCGAAAGGATCAAACCTGGCCTTAGGCTTGTCCCTCTGAAGACCCACGAACAGAGGTTCTCTCTGTAATTCGGATGCATCCGAATCAGAGGAAGAACTCCTGTCTTCAACGACATGGGTGGCCTTTGGCCAGAATTCGGTGATGGGTGCCAAAGGCACCCCGTTGTCGATAATGTCCCCCTCGTGTTTCACGTGATCTTCCCAATACCGAAAAACCCTATCTATTCTATTCACCTCTTCGTCTCGGAAAGTCATCCAAGTTTCTCTTTTTTTTTCATAGACTTCCAAAAACCTCTTCACACCCTCGAAACCGTTTTTGTAATCGTCGAGGAACGCCGGTTGCACCAGCAGAGGATCGAAAGGTTGCTGCGGACCAGCGTAACCACCGTTGTCTGTTTGTTTGAACCAGTTAAGAGGACCTTCCTCGGGCAACCACTTAGCGTCTGTGCAATACTCTTTATAGGACATGGCGGGATTATCACCTATCATGTAGAATTTTAGCAAATGAGGCTTCAAAATCCCTGTCATGCGCTTTGAAACATGCGGGTAAATAAAACCTCTCCAATTTGCTATCCAATCAAATAAAATACACCGCGGAGGAGTCTTATGAGACCGCTCTAGCAAAAGGAACAACTCATCCATTGTGTAGGCATTATTGTCCTTGAGTTTCTTGGAGAAAACACTAAACGTGGCATCGACGTCAATGTGCGTGTGTCCAATTATCATAAAACCAATTTCTATTTCCTTGAAAATCCCGAACTTCACAAGAAGTGCTGCCAATGCGCAAATGAATTTATTCTTGTTTTGTCAGCTTGAATACGAAGAAACGGCGGTAGAGGTTTCCCACTGGATTGGATCTCCATAAGAGTCCGCATTGAACACGTCGCCGTACTGCTGGGGCCGTGTGTGTAGTAAGGAAAATATGTGTAAACATATATAGACGGATCCTGGCCATGGACCAAAACGGCCGTGAGACCAGTCTTCATCATCCTCTCATGGTGCAAGTCCTCGAGTAGTTAGCCTGTCCTATATGCGGTATGGTAGTTTTCTTTTGATCCATGCCATCGATAATGATGCACAGACACTCGGACTGCCGCAAGATGGAATCCATTTTGCAGCGGCATTGTCCAGCCTGTGGTTGACTTGCAGCTCTTGATGTTTCCGCATCCTATCTTTGGATTTCTTACGGTCCCTCTCGTACTTCGACTTAGCAATGCACTGCTTGTAGAATATACATTTTGCGCACTTCGTGAATGCGTTGGACATAGCTAGACTCACGTGCCAGAACTGCTTACTCCACATAACGTAGAAAGTCGACTCCGACACAACTTCCGAGTGACACATCAAAAGATCAGAGCGTTATGATTCGTAAATTGCTCGTTTTGTGAATGCCGCAGAAATCCTACGGCGAGGACGACAAACTCCGTTTTTCCCGACCATGTCATTCGGCATACTATCGGCGTGGTCGTCGATGAATCGTTTCAACAGTGCAAGCATCGTGACGACTTTTTCGGATGGTTTAGACAAGACCAAGTGCCCATGCTCCCTAACGACAACACCGTTATCGTACATCCTTTTGTAGACATAGAATGTGTTGCGAGAAATGTCGAGAATGTTACAGTATGCCTACACGCACATCTTCCTTTTGCAATCTATAGGCCTGACCCGCTCAGCACCACCTCCTTTCCGTGAAACTTTTTGAGTAGAATGCCTCCCGCACCGGCCTGACATCTTCGGCTGTCAGTTCAGCGCAACACATCCGCCTACAACAGAGCATCCCTCGCACTGCCTGAAGTGACTTCATCCTGAGTTTGCCCATTGCTCGTCGATGCTGTGTCTTTTTAGCCGGTTCTCTGTTTGCCATAGAATAAGGTCTTCTTTCACCGGGCATAGGCGCAGGCAAAATGTACCGTATGTGGCGGTCCTCTTCGGAGAGACAGCGCGAGCTCTGACTATCTCGTGAATAGCGGTACTCAGTGATTTCATCCGTGGACGGTCCTTGACTCTCCTGGCACTGCGGAGGGGTAGACGAGGAAACCCTATCACCCCCATCGGCAACTCCCAAGGATGAACCAGCAGTAGTGCAGTTGTTCGCACTGTACACGTACTCCGTCCCACTATAACTACAGTCACTGAGATTCCCCTCGGGTATGGAGCTCGACATCCCAGCGTCGATCATTTCAGAACATGCTGAAGAGACTCTGGATGTACAATCGACACTAAGAAACTGACCCCCGCTTCCAGTGTTTATGTGGTCTTCGAGCACGTCACGACAGATGTACGAATGCGCGGTGGAGGTGGACAACTGTGTTCTCTTCCGTCGATGCTGAGTGTTTGAGTCACGTGACCGTTTTCCAGAGGAAGCACATGGCTCAAGTCGAGAAGAAGTACTATCGACACTGCTCGAAACTCCAACCCCCATAACCAATCCCTTCCCAGCCAATTCCTGCCGAAAACGTAACGGAAGGAAAACCGGCGTGGGAGGGAAGTCTTGATCGACCGTCGTCGTATCACACCAGTGAAGAATATGTTGAGAAGCGTTTCACTTTTCCCTGCGTGCAGAGCAATAGACGTTGACCCAAATCGCAGCCGAGACAGTTGTTGAACTTTGGCAATGATAAAGCGACAGAGATGCGTCCGCTAGTTGCAGAGCACTATAGAGGGCAGCGCAACGAAACAAAAAGACGATGCATAGTCAGCCTTGAACCGGAAGACAAGCCTTGACCCGCACTGAATTTACATGTATGGTGTAGAAATGGCGGGCCCGCAAGTGTATAACATATTTTAGAGTCGGATGAATCCGACGCAATGACGCAGGCAAATATCGGACTTAACATTAGACGTGCACAGCCAGCTTTGAACCGTGCTACAAGCCTTGCCCGTCACCAATCAGACATGTTGTAGAAATTGCGGGTGCGCAAATATGTAACTGATTTTAGAGTCGGATGAATCTGATACAATGATGAAGGTAAATGTTGGCAAGTCCGCATCGTTGCAGATTCTTATGTCGGATGCATCCGAGACACTTAAATCCCCTGAGATTTAGACAATTGCAGCACACACCACCAGTGCGTCAAGTATGCAATGCTGAGCACCATCAGCACGCATACAGACGACGAAAGTGATCACGAGTCTTCCGCGTCGTAAGAAATTGACAACCTTCCCGCAGTGCCAAACAGTCGGCGGTCTGTGCTGTGGGGTGGCAAAAACACTCTTTGGGAACCCTCGCGGTCATGTTCATAAATTGTTGGCATAGCACCAGATGCTCACCAAACAGTTTCGAATGCCCTTGTAATGGACAAATCATATGATGCCTTACGATCAAGCAGTGGTTGATAGCTTGCCCGCTTTCCCGGTCTGGATCTTTGAGAGCAGAGTTTCGCACTCCACCGTGAGATCCATATCGGAGAAGAGGACCTGCTACCCTGCCGCTGTTAACTGTAGTCATCATAAGGGAGTCTATGACGCGAGAACCCCAAAATGAGTAATCGTGGGGGAATATCGCGKCCGCATGACAAACTTTTTGGCGTAGCACCAGATGCTCACCGACCAGTTCYGAATGTCGGTTGTATCGACACACCATATGATGTTTTACAAGCAAGCAGTGGTCGTTTGCTGGCCCCCCTCTGCGGTGTGGATCTTTGAGAGCAGATTTGACGCAATCCACCGTTAGACCCACATCGGAGAGGCGGACCTGCCATCATGTCGCTGTTCACTGTAATCACCATGTGGGAGTCGACAACGCAATGACCCAACGATGTTCCAATCGGGAAGTGTTTTTGTGTACTGTGCAGGTGGTAATCATCGGCGCGTATGAAGCGTATTGAGGGAAAGAGGAGATTCTTCTAGCATGGGACGAGGGAAACAGTTGACTTATTCGGTGACGAGAAGGAACAAGCTTGAGCGGTCTGCAACTTTGAATGCCAAGCACCATCAGCACGCATACAGACGACGGAAGCGATCACGAGTCTTACGCGTCGTACGAAATTGACAACCTTCCCGCAGTGCCAAACAGTCGGCGGCCTGTGCTTTCGAGTGGCAAAAGCACTCTTAGGGAACCTTGCGGTCGTGTTCGGAAATTGTTGGCGTAGCACCAGATGCTTACCGAACAGTTTTGAATGCCGATCTAATGGACAGATCATATGATGCCTTACGATCAAGCAGTGGTTGATAGGTGACCCCCTTTCCCGGTCTGGATCTTTGAGAGCAGAGTTTCGCACTCTGCCGCAAGATCCATATCGGAGAAGGGGACCGACTACCCTGCCGCTGTTTGCTGTAGTCATCATGAGGGAGTCCATGATGCGAGAACCCCAAAATGAGCAATCGCGGGGGAATATCGCGGCCACATGACGAACTTGTTGGCGTAGCACCAGATGCTCACCAATCAGTTCTGAACGTCGGTTGTATCGACACATCATATGATATTTTACAAGCAAGCAGTGGTCGATTGCTGGCCCCCCTCTGCGGTGTGGATCTTTGAGAACATATTTGACGCAATCCACCGTTAGACCCACATCGGAGAGGCGGACCTGCCATCATGCCGCTGTTCACTGTAATCATCATGTGGGAGTCGACAACGCAATGACCCCACGATGTTCTAATCGGGAAGTGTTTTTTGTGTTATGTGCAGGTGCTGATCATTCAGTGACGAGGAGGAACAAGCTCGAGCGGCCTGAGACTTCGGATGGATCCAAGACACAAGATGACATGCCGGACAAGGTGTCTAGGGAAACAGACGATTTTTCGGGGATGAGAACGAAAACGCTTGCGCAGCCGGCGACTTCGGATGAATCCGAGACACAAGATGTCATCGTGGACATGCATGATTGCAGCCTCGGTCGGCGTCGGTCACGTCACTTTCTGCCATGCAGCGGCTGTTGCACAGAGGGTCACAGACACGGGCACCACATTTCATGGCGTCCTATCTGAAAACCATCGCGGACAATTACGAAACATGGCAGTGCCAGATGATCTAGAGGGCGGTGGACTGTTTGGAAGCCTCGCTTGCCTCGAAGGCGTGCAAGAAAATAAACTCGACGGTGTGCAGTTATCGAGTCGCACATACCGAATCCGACGGGTTGTTGTTTGGCCAAGGATCGTCCTTGGGGAACCCTTCATGCATCGCGTTCAACGTTGGGTGCACCCGCATGTATCTGATTGATGATTCGGATGAATCCGAAACACTTATAGAATGTCACCTTCACAAGCTTGAAGTGCTAGTTCAAATGCCACAACGCCGGTGTCAACTTTAGTCGTCACAAGGGAGTCTCCTTTTCCCTTAAACACAAGGTCTGACCACACGTCCGTATTTTGTGACATACGGGCTTTCCTGCAGACGAGGTCGTGAACGGAAGCCATGCATAGCATTCATAGATGATCCATACACATGGATCTGCGGCTCGTCGACTGTTGCGTTCTCCGAAAACACGGACATGTATTTCATCCTCACAAACCCTCATTGTCGTGCTAAGGAATTCCCTATACAATCACGTATTTCAGACACTTTCTTTTCCACATCATCCCACAATGACAGAAAAACTCTTACATGACTTGCTCTCACCAAGTCTGACCGCCCATCTACATCTGGGCAAGACATGACCGCCTTGGACTTGGATCCCTAAAGCACCATCTCGTTGCGTGACACAAGCACAACTGCATCCACAAGTTTCCTACTTTTACTTAAAGAAGCCACACATAGCACTCCGGCGAAACGACATCCGTCATCCGTCAACCGCACACAACAGTACGACAAAGCTTGTGGAGAAGTCCTTGGGCAACGGGGTGGGTAGTGTTCCAAGAATGAACAATGACGAGCGCAGTCCACCAACTCTTGCTTCTGCGAACTTCCCCATGTTCGTGGCGAAGATGTGATGTACTCGCAGTGGAGGCGACGTCTGAAGCTGGTACGGAAGCGGACCGGTTTACCCTTATCGTCCAGGGTCTTTCGATGGAGGACACCATCAGGCAGTGCAATGAGGCTCCCGAACTCCAACATGTTGGCAAACTTGTAATGGCTTGCCCATGGGCAGAAACGCTCCATCGCCTTCCAGTCATTTTCGTTCCATTCGTCGAGATGTCGATTCAAGTAAGGGACGACGGTCGTCCATGGGTCGTCCTCGAAGTCGTCCTCGGTTGCATCGTCGATCCACGTTTGACCGTCATGATGCCGCAACGATCTCGCACAAGGATGAAAGGGTTTCGCTAAGCGCATGTGCTTCTCGGGTGTCATGGCGATGCTTGTCGAAGGACTGGACGACATTAAACTCCCTACACAACACGAACACATGGATAGACATACGGAAGAGGAGACCGTCGTAAACAATGTCGGTGAACGATAGTTTCCCCGATGAGGCCCACTCCCAGTTGTAACGCCCAACACTTTTTTATCGGCGAAGCCCTTACAGGAGGCCGTCAATCGGAAATCGTCCAAAAAATAGATCTTTCCACATCGCATTGCAAAGCCCTTACAGAAGGTCATCAATCAGAAGTTCACCAAGCCAATGGAGTGTTTTCTAAAAGTCATGCAGGGACCCGTTCCAGAGCACATGCGGGATTTCCTAAAATTATCAAAACCCACGCCGTAAAGCACATTGAGACGGACAGAACAATCGGACGACCCTCGCCGCCGTGTGCAAAACATCCGTTTCTGTATTTCTGGGGGACGAATGGGACAGCACACTGACGCCGGACAACCACATTACACCGACTCATCTACAGAAGACGTTTCGCACAGTCGACATAACAAGTACTTTTCGCAGAGCCATGAAAGCACAAACTCTACCTACCACGGTCATTCTGAATACGAGTTGAACAGAAGTGCACGACAGAAGCTCATCCAAGCCTACCGCCCCGCCTCGGATCCGAGGTTCGGATCAATCCGAGCCACCCGCCAACAAAAGTCCTAGACAGAAGCTCATCCAAGCCTACCAATCCGTGGTTCGGATCAATCCGAGCAACCGCCCCGGAAAGATAGATATTAAATGGGATGTCGTGCGACCATCTGTGGCTCGGATTAATCCGAGCCACCGCCCAGCGACCTCGCCTCACTCGGAGGGATGTGGCAGAAGGATGAGACACCCCTGGAATCGAAGGCGGAGCCAGTAGGAAGCAACACGTCCTTTGGGATGTTTGCATTACTACCCCATGTGCAAAAAAACATCTCAGACAAAAGCCAAGAGTGCCATCCCCGATTCATGAGACCCGCGTGCGCGATGTGGCAGGCAAATCAGACTCTACTGCTGTCGAGCTATGAGGTTCGGATTAATCTGGACCACAACATACGGTTTCAGTCAGGCGGTACCCAGACGTCCTGCAAAATGTTCACATTTCGCCACTCGGAAGGAAAAATCAACAACAAATGCCAAGAGTGCCCACCTTCGGTTATTGTATGTTGCATTCAGGACGCGTGGCGTGTGCCGCCATTTTCCTTTCCCGATGAGACCTTCCGTCACTGGGCGTGATACTCACCTCGGGACTCCCGATGCGATGAGGGATGTGGTTCGGATTGATCCGAGCTACATCACATGTTTAGGAGTGACGCGGACCTAATAAGTCCTCTGTGAGTGTTGCACTACCCAATGCGGCGTGTGGGGAACACTAACAAAAGCCACGACTGCCATCCTTCATTCGTCTGTGGTTGTGGTTCGGATTCATCCGAGCTACAAACGAAGGCAAAAGCAGATGGGGAGCTGTCGGAGTCATGATTTGTGGAGATGTTTACTTCGAAAGCGATCCCCTGTGGCGTCGTTGTCCCTTCCCCTGAGACATCAGAGGGATGCGGTTCCCGTTGAGACTTCCCACGAGCCAAGGGTTGTGGTTCGGATTCATCCGAACTACATCACACGTTCCATGGTGAGGCGAACAAAAACGTCCAGCCTGAGAATTGCATAACCCCTCGTGGGAGACAAAGAACACCGACAAAAGTCATGAGTGGCGGGTTATCATGGACAGGGGGTCGCCTCAAAACTCTGGATGGGGGGACGTTGCGTGAAAACAATGGGTCGGATGTAAGGGGGGCATAGTCATCCAACCACTGGCATCGCAAATGACATCTACTATTGCCTTCATCCCGAGCTCGGATGAATCCGAACTCCATCCGGAACAAGTGGCACGAACAACACTCTCTCACCCCCGCTGCAATCCCGCGCACGCCTCCCTAAGCTGCTCTGGAAAACGAGGCTGCGATTAATTGGAATCAAAATGTGATCGGCGTGGATAAAGAGCTTATCGTTCCATGAGGTCATTGGTGCGTTCATTCAGCTCAGATTTTGAGACTGTAATCGTCGCGAGGATTGTCCACGTCAGAGTTCGCCCAAAACGAATCGTGGCGAGGGGACGGGCTGCCGCACAGGCGGCGGTGCTGTGACGTTTTCCTGTGGGCGTGACGGAACTTGTAAGCGCTAGTTCCATATCCAAAATGTTGCTGATGCGTGTCCGACGTCTCGCGCCCGGCTGCATGGCGGTTCCTCATTGCTAGCTGCGTGTGTGAGAACGGGTGATGAGGCAGGGAACGTTCAAGACAACAAGAAAAAGATCCTGATGTCGTCCACAACCGCGATAGACATGTTCAATCACTGAGTCGATCAGAAATGAGCTCGAAGTTGGCCCTTGGCGGTGGGATGTCGCGGGATCGGCGGTAATCTGGGATGTTTTGGATTCGCCATGGGTATCCGTTGTGCGCAACGGGTCGTCGCTAAACGTTGTGGATGGGTGGCTTTGCCACTGTTGGCTGTGCGTGCGACACGGGCTATTCCTGTTGAAGGTGCGCGTTTGTCGTGAGGCTTCCAGCTATCGGGGACATGAGATGATGTGATCAGCGCTGCGATAACAGATCATCCGATAGACGTCAACACCGGAGATGGATGGACGGGATCTGAAAGTCGATCGACACGCGTTTTTCAGATGACGTCTCCGGTGTTGACGTCTGTCGAATGACGTGTTATCGCAGCGGTGATCACATATCAAAATCTTGAGGATGCCAGGGAGCAACGGCGATGAAACTTCGTCCACGCGTCAGATGCAGTCGTCGGAGGCGTCTGACAATCTTGATTGCGAAAGCCGCAAGCCATTTTGAATTCCAGACGTCATACGCAAGATGGTGACGTCAGCGTGTGTCACTGAAAGGGAACTTTCGTGGTTGTGAGCTGCGGACATCGTGGACTCAAGATCGCGCGCATGTCGACTCGTGCGTGATTGACGGAGCAGGCGGTGATGTAGAAGAAGACTCGCACGACCGACTGCATTGCGATATCCTAAGTAGACAGGGGGAAGACGACCCGCGAGCCAGGGTCCAAGAAAGTGTACCAACAAGCGATGTTGAGGACGCCAAGACTCGCGGGCGATGCGACTTTCTCCACGCGTCAGATCTGGTCGTCGGAGGGCACCAAGACTCGAGGGCGATGTTGAAGACGCCAACAAGCGATGTTGAGGACGTCAACAAGCGATGTTAAGGGCCGCCAAGACTCGAGGGTGATGACTGTGAAAGCCGCGGCCATTGCCTGTCGCTGACGTCATGTGCAAGATAATGACGTCAGCGTCTGTCACTGCATGGGGTCTTCCGTGGTTTTGATCGGTGGGCGTCGTGCACTCAAGATCGTGCGCGCGTGATTGGCGGAGCAGGTGGTGGCAGAGAACAAGACTTGCACGGTCGAAGGAGCGGAAGGGCAACGGGAAGAGGTGGGGGCTTGAAATGGTGAAAGGGTCGAGCAGGGAGATGGGCTTCTTACTGACCTGCGAGTCGACAAATGCCTCTAGCCGACACAAGAAGAGCACAGCGCAAACGGGACGACGCGCAAGGTCTACAGTCGCGTGACGTTTTCGTTAGCGCCCCCCGCTATCGACGATTGCTGGAAGAACGAGGGTCTGGATGCGCAAGGGGCCTGCGATATGATGCCGGCGACTTCGAGCGATGGCGGACGCGTCGCAAAGGCAGCACACGGAAGAAATGACACCAGCGAATGGAAGGTGTGACAGCCACCCCCGTTTGTTTGGTGCCCGACAGGAGAAGAGTAAGTGCAGTGAGTGGGGCTTGAGGGGCCCTTCAGCTGCCCACCGAAGGGTCAGTAACGGCGGACTGCCGCGTCGGGGGCTGTGACATCAGGCGGTCCCTTTTTTGACGGACCGTCCTCACGAAATCGCCCGATCCGAAACCGTCGCGGGAGGGCGGGCCGTGATTTCGAGAGGACTGGCCTTTTCTCACCGTGCTATCGACGGCTCCAACGCATCATCTGGCGCAAATTTTCCCTCCCACTTTTGATTATCGGGCCCTGCGCGGATTTTACCGTGATATCGACGGTTCCACGCATCATCCAGCGTGACTTTTCCCGCCCACTTTCGTTTTTTGGGCCCCGCGCGGATGTATCCGCCATTCGAATGACGGTGGCGCCATTTCGCGAATTTGCAGGTGGGATTGCAATCGTCCGAAGCAGCAGGCAATCGCAGGTGTCGCCAACCCTCACGGCCGAAAATGCCCGTCGCCCGCGCTTGCCAGCGACACAGCCATCTCGTCGCCGTCTCCCCCGTCGTCTACCTCGCTTCTCTCTCTCTCCCACGTCGCCATATCGCTCGCCTCGCCATCTCCTTCGCGTCGCAATCTCCCACGTCTCCATTCGCGGTTTTGCCCTCTGACGCGTCGGCTCCTCCCTTTTCGCGCGTCGCGACACATGTCGTCGTATTGCGGTTTGAGATCATCAACCAAGTCGCCGGGGCCATTGTTTCCAACAACAATTGTAAATCAAGGAAAGGAAGGAAAAGGTGTCTCTCTGTCTCACCCCCCCTCTCTCTCTCTCTATTTGGCTCTGTCACTCTCTCTTTCTCTCTCTCTCTCTCTCTCTCTCTCTCTCTCTCTCTCTCTCTCTCTCTCTCTCTCTCTCTCTCTCTCTCTCTCT